AACGGCAAAAGATTCAAAGAAGGGAGTGCCTCTCTGAAGGTTCAACAGAAGGAGATGTGAACAGTGGATTATCGAAGTGGTGATTCTAGATTTGGGTCTAATAAAGGTGCTTGAATTCTAGAATTTTTTTTTTTTAAACAAAGGTTGTACATGTGACAACATTTGTTTGATGTCACTGAAGTGGCTGTTGTTGGTGTGATAAGAATCTAACCAAAATGATAGAAAAAGTTTCCAGTTGAAAACAAATCAGTAGGGACACCTGGGTGGCTCAGTCGGTGAAGACTCTGCCTTCGGCTCAGGTCATGATCTCAGGGTCCTGGGATCAAGCCCTGCATCAGGCTCCCTGCTCAGTGGGGAGCCTGCTTCTCCCTGTCCCTCTGCTGCTCCCCCTGCTTTCACTAGCTCTCTCTGACAAACAGATAAATGAAACCTTAGAAACAAACAAACAAACACAAAACCAAATCAGTAGGTCTGGACTTTAAGAGCCTTTTTACTGACCGCATGGTCTTAGGCAACCGATATGCATTAACCGTGACGTCCTTCTAGTAAAAGCAGAGCACGTCTCATTTCCTGCTCCCAGAGTAACTAGAAAGGTAAAATAATGTGCTGGATGTGGACCAATTTGAAGGTCATGGAGCAGGGTTCAAATGCAAGGCCTGATTATTTTAGTAAGGAAGTGGCATCACTATTGTAAAAAAAATATGATTAGTATCAGTTGGTCAGTAAACGAGCCCACATTAGTTGCATTTTACAGGAGTGTTCTGTAATGCTTTAGGTTATCTCTGTAGATGCCCTAACTCTGTTTTAGGATGCCACCTCCTGCCCAACACCGCAAATGCTGCTCGTACTTTGATTATTGGATTATTAGTTCCCATGACTGTCCTTCCCAGCGGCTGTTTCACCTTAGACTCTGAATGTCCCGGCAGGCAGCTTGCTACATAAATATGTAACAAATGAAATAGAGAGGATATAAGCCGGGAAGACGGAGATTATGTCTTCCAGATCTTGGTCCCTATATTTTATCCAAGTATGGAGCTCTGGTCTAGGAGGCATTGGATTGCTGGATAAAACCATTAAATATCTAATATCTAAAGCAACCACATCAGCATTGCCAGATTAAAAAGGCTGATTTGTGCAAATCTGTTCTGAAAAGCAAGCATGTCTCAGATGAGAGCAAAAGTAAATCAAGAATGTGACCATAGAGCAATGCGACTAGTTTTCATCTGTGGTGGTAGAATCAATCTCCTTATTCTGCAGTCATACCTTGCAAATTAAGGGGATTACCATCGTGTCTTAGAGTGGCGCTTACTGCTTTAATGAGTGAATCATCTATTAAAAAATGAGTTCTTTTGTTGAAAGTGCTATTATAAACGAAATGTGGTCTTTTGGAAGATAAACAGGCAGCACTGAGCAAATTAAAAAGCTCATTCTTCAAAATAAAAAAGAATAGTCAGAAAATATGGTTTCTGCCAGATAACAGGAAAAAAAAACAAAACCCAGTACGGATGACTTCTTGGAGGTAGTAGTTGTGAATAGGACATGTCTGATAGTCAACTCATTAAAATCTGCTCTGCTAAAAGTATTTATGAAACAGAATTAATAGCTCCAGAGCAGATTTCCCATTCATTTAAGACCAGTTCTTCAAGCTTCTGGTCTCATCACACTGAACGATGATGTGTTTCTGTTCTGCGCCAAAGTTGCATTCTCCTCTCCAAAAGTTGGCAATGAACTATTTAGTAATAGTCCTGCCTGAGAAATCTTCTGGCATCTAAATTCACCCAAATTGAGATAAACAATAAAAATTTAAGACACGCTAAGAAGACTTTTGCATATCATTATGCAAAGTAACATGAAGCTAATCTGTATAACAAATTATAATAAAACTCCTGAGTCCTACCAGGAAATGGGGTTCAACAACCTCAAATTTAATTCTTCATACCCAATTCAAGAGTTTTATAATCCTATTTTCTATACTTGGGATAAAATTTTAAATGCCATTATAAAATTAAAGTGCCCTATGGTTTTTATCATGTCATTTACCTGATCAACATCATTGCTGAACTAAGGATTGGTAGGTTCAACATATCCATTTTATATACTTGGTACGGTACTATGCATACACATATGGGAAATTCATCCATAAGTGTCCGGCAGGACTTTTTAATATATCACTCTATAATATTGATAACGATCTTGCACATATCATTTTCAGAGGAGACTGAAGCGAAGTTCTATAATCACAACAGAACAGGGCTCTGCCTGGTCTTCTTCCCACTGTGAAAGGCGTGGGTACTGGCCTGAAGGTGCTCTCTACTGCCCCCTGTCCCAGGTTTGTGGCAATTCACTATTCACCACGATGACCGTATGCTAAGGCCGGACTCTCAGCTCTGGCCTCACTGAACACTTATGACAAACAAACAATCACAGAGAAGAATATTTTTCATACCCAATAGTTAAGAGTCTCAGGCAGTGAGTAAGTGGTAAGAATGGGAGACGGTGAATCGTAGGGCAAGAGCCATACCTAAATGGCTAGCCCCCACTCAACAGTGAAGACAATCCAGGTATTCTGATTTTCACAAGGGGTTAGTGGGTCAAGGGCAAAAATCACATGACATGAAGATGTGGCTTCAGAGGTTAAAACCACGTGCCTCTTTTCTAATGTATGGCTTGTGCCTAGCGGCCCACTATGGATTTATCATTCCTGCAGATATCTAATGTTTTTGAAAACTGGACTCCAGTTAAAATTAATTCCTGAGGTGATGGTTTTGGTTAGTCTATAAACATCTGTGTGGAAAAGTAAAATATAATATCCATGAGAAGAAAATTAGGCTGAACTACCCTGACTCTCTCCTGCGATGGAGCTTATACACGTGTGTACACACACACACACACACAGAGGTATTTTTGTCTTTTTAAACCACGTTTTACATGGGCACCTTTTATATGTCCATGCTGCGCCATCCCTAATTTTCTGGTAAGTTGTTTGTGCCTCCTGAAACATTTTGACAGAAGTCTCTAGAAGTTTTCCCCTGTCAACTTGGCATGTAATTCTTCAGCTTGACGTAATTTCGGTGTATGAGCAATTTTCAGTATTTCAAACATCCTGAGTAAACTCCTCTATTTCATAAAATACCTTACTGGTAACCTAGAGGTCCCCAACTTGATATCCTCGGACCCTTAGGAACCCACAAATTGGTTAATGTAGATTTTTTCTTGGTCAACCAAAACAATAATTTTGCTGTCCAAAGTCTTTACAAAATGATATTTAAGAAACTATAAGTCACAAAATCAGCCTCTAGGGAGTTCTGTCCACATTTAGTTCTTCATTCAAAAAGGGATGGAAACCCATGCGAGCAGGTAAATAAACGCAGCCGACAATATGCTCTTCCTGGCAGGGACCTCTGCCCCCTGAGCTGTTTATGTGCCCCAACACCCCTGGACAAAGACAATACTGGTAATAAGTCTTCACTACCTCCATGAGCAGTTAGATTTTCTCACAAAATCAAAGTTCTTGAAAATGAAATCTAACACTGCGTTGACTGGCAGATTTCGGAAGAACAACTTCTCCTAGGCCCCAGATCTGTACTCCAATAGCGGAAAATCCTCACTATGACGCCAGATGTCAGGTCAGAGGCAGCCTAACGGATAACATGTCCAAGCAGTGTCACCGGAAGCAGAGTGCCAACTCAACAAAACCCATCATGGCTTGAAATTTTCCTGTCTAGTTATTTTCTTGCCTCATGTTTAGATAAACAGCATTTTTCCTGCCTGTCAAAAGCCAGGAATCCCAGCTGCAGCAGAAATGGACAAACATCCAAACCCAGCACTGGGCTGATCTGGTTTTAGGGCAGGGGATTTCTCTCATCCTCAATGGCAACAGGAACTGTTTACTGCACTGTAGAGGGAGTTCCTAACATACTGTACTGGTGTCTGGTGTCAGGGGTTCCTCCAGGTTCAGCAGAGATGCGGAAATTAATCTGCCTTCTCGAACTGGGGTCATATCCACACCATCTCCCAGTGCAGCAGCTCAGTTACCAGAATACATTTTTTTTTTTTCTGGTCTATGTAACAGATCAGTTCTTAAACTTGTATTTCAAAGGCCCAATATGCTATGCTTCCATTTGGTTTGCACCACATTCATGCAATATGTTGAATGAATAAACTTGCACCAAATGTCCCCATCGTCCTCATTAATACTTAACCTGTGTGTGTGTACACAAATGTGTGTGAAATATTCACACCATATTATCTAATATGGATATATACACACTATATATATATATATATATATATATATATATATATATATTATAACTTGGTATTTTTTATTGAATCACAGAAATAACTACAACATTATTTACATTTTCTTAAAGTTTTAAGGCAGTATTAAACATTTTTAATTAAATACAGATAGACAGATTTTACTCATTTATTTACTTCCCTAGTTCTGAGCCATATTCTCTAATTTATCCATGCACCAGATCTACAACCACAAGGATTAAAATGTAAATTTAAATATATATATAAAGGAAATGAAGTATATATATATATATGTATTACATAGTGTATTATAGTCTGCATGTCTACATATAACATATATATGTATCCCATTTCCTCTCTGTATTGAAATTGACATGTAGGTAGGTGCGTGACTAAGTGGATGAGAACTGCTCAGAACTAAGGAAGTTGAGGTCACAGAATACCAGCTGGATAAAAAGCGCTTTATGGCTCCTTGTTAGGTTAATAGGTTTACCTTTCATTTACTATGAGGAGGTTTTTCTAAAAAAGTAATTTTTTATTTTTTAGTCACCTGTTTACGGGCTACATAGTATTTAGCTCACTGTACCTGTTTCAGACTCGGATATGCTGACATGAAAGCATTTGGTACCGATTCAGGAACAGTAATAAGTAATGATGAGAGACTAGAGAGAAATCTTAATCTAGAGGGAAAAATGTGGGAGAAGGGGCCCCCCCCGAGCACGTAAAGGAGAATCACCTACCAGCTCCACTCGTCCGAAGCCTCCGACTCCGAGGGTGTCGATGATGTTGAAGTCAGACAGCTTCAGGTTGGCGAAGAAAGCAGCTTCGGCTTCGTATCTGGATTTTTTGATGCGAAAAAATGGAAATTTCTTAGAGGCGCAAACACGAGAACCACGCACGACCGACGCGGAATGACAGGACTGTGGCTCGGGGTTTACCTGCTCAAATTCCATCTTGCTTCTAGAGTCTGTGTCTCCTCCCAAGCATAAGTGTTTGGTCCCCGTTGTGCAGAATAACCAAGATTTGCACTTGTCTTTCAAAGGAGAGTAAGACAGAGCACCTGGTACCTGCCAGTCACGTGACTGCTACACCCAGCCACTAGATCAAGAGTTACATTGCAGGGCTTTCCTGCGCATCTTCTTGTGAGCCCGGATTGTCGGGCTGGTTCTTTTTTGGTTTTGTTTGGGGATTGGGGGTTTTGCTCGTTTGGGTTTAGCCGTTCAGATTTGGGAGGGCGGTTTCTCATGAGTTTCTCTTTTCCGGAGGCTGGCAGTGGCTCCTATCAGAATTTATTAAGAGCAGCAAGATCATTGTCTCTGGAGAGGCATCACAGTCAGGTTTTAGAACAGATCCAAAAAGCAGAGGACTGATGTGCCAATGTCTGAAACGGAGGATTTCGGAAGCATATTCACCTTCCTAAAACGTGTCTCCCCTCCGTTTATGTTTACCCACTGCCTCTCAGCTGGTCATCCCAGTGCCTTTATGATTGCCAGTGTCTTACAGGAGCGGTGTGGAGGAGCATAGACCATGCTCCGAAGTCTAGCTCTGACCCAGGCACATCTGACACACGCAAGCGGGCAAAATAAGCTTCTCCTGATGAGACAAGTGAATATGAGAGGCTTAAAATATCTTCTTATTAAAGGCCCTACTATTTTTAGAAAGGGCAGGAAGGCATAACAGTGAAGATGACCCTCCCTCTCACTCATGTCAGGTCAGGGAGTAATTCAGCTGTCTCCAAACTGAAGTCTCTGGATAGCTCTGTGCAACCCATGACCTACAGCCAGGCAGTACCCGACGTGGTCTACGCTATAGATAGATGTGATGAATGTGCTTGACAGGATGATCCGAACGCCGCTGGTCTGTCAGTTTCGGGATAGAGTCACCTGCAGGTGTGCGTGGCATTAAGCCGTGTAACATTTTAGCTATTCCTTTGTAATCCAACACAAATTTAGACTCTGCACTTGGAAGAGACGTGAAACAGCGTTCTAGGAGAGGTTTTAGACATTCTCCCCAAGTTACAACCCCAGTAGCGGTTTTAAGCAATTCTTGACAGACTCATGAGAGGGTACAAACGACCTTATGTTCATTATTGGCTGGTTCTGAGCCATGCACTCCCTCTAATGAACCTCCATAAACAAGGCTGCTGGCCAATCCTGATGGCGTTGTAGACTTCTCTTGTTAAGCACACAGTCAAAAGATTGGCATAGCAATTCTGGAGATGGTTTACTAGAATGGGACATAAGCAGCAAATGTGCATTTCTAGCATTCCGACTGGTCCACTACTTTGGAAAATTAAAACTCCATCCCATTTAAAGGGCCAGTGGCAGAGTTCACTTCAACAGGTGCTTACAAGGACATCTGTTGGGATCAGACCCTGTCATGGTTTGTATGCGGTCAAGCATTTCTCGGCAGGCTAATCAAATTCTTAATGAGACTGTTTCTGAGTAATATCCTATGTGCTTGCCAGATTTAGAAATCTCAGACACAGCGAGGGTAAACTCTTTCAGATTATTCTGATACCATTTTGTATAGTTAATAAAGTGTGGTGTTCTTATAGTTCCTGAAGTTATTCCCAAATCCTTACACTTGGGCTCTGTCAAGCTAGGCTAGTGATCTCCAGCCCTGTGTGCACCCAGAACTACCTGAGAATCGCCCAGAAACCATGTAATGTGGGTCCTACCACAGTGAGTGAAGCAGAAATTTTGGGGGGCAGTACCCAACTACCTGTATTTTTTTTTAAAGCTCCCTCGGGGATTCTGATGTACAGCAAGCATTGAGAATTATAGCTCCAACTTCTCTGAAAGCCGAGGGAATTCCAGAAACCATGGGAGCATTTTAGGGAGGATTAAAATGGTCCTGGGAAATCAGTAGCTGCCCAGTGAGTCTGGGGGTGATGTATTCATGCCAAGAGGGCTGGGGGCTCTTACAAACTTGTCTGGGCCCCTGCCCTCTGATCCTAGACCCCTTGAAATGACCAGTAATGGCTCACAGAGCTTAAAACAAACAAACAAACAAACAAACAAACAAAAAAGGAACATTGCTAAAAAAACAAAAACAGATACAGAACGCAGAAATCACAAGCTTAGCTGTTTTGTGTTTGCATTTCTACAGCAAAATCCTGACTTTGTTTATACTCACTCTGGGATTAACTACTGATGGTATTTTCATTAATGGGATGGATATATTAACTCTCATGTTAATAGTAGACATTTTCTCTGTAGCCATTAAAATCCACCTAAACATATATGGCCCCATACACTGAAGGCACAATTACCATTAAAGAAAATATTTCATGTTTTAAAGAAAAGAGGTTGGTAACACTGCCATCGTACTTGCTAATCTTGGTAATTACTTTGCTAATACGGCTTGGTGACTTTTTAAAATACTACCTAGTGGGGTGATTCTAATCTAGCAGTTGGTGAAATACATTCTGAGGGCCCTTCAGATAATGTCTTCTTTTTTTTTTTTTTTAAGGTTTTTAAAAAAGCTTTATTTATTTATTTGACAGAGGGAGACCACAAGTGGGCAGAGAGAGAGGGGGAAGCAGGCTCCCCACTGAGCAGAAAGCCAGACACAGGGCTTGATCCCAGGACCCTGAGACCATGACCTGAGCCGAAGGCAGAAGGCTTAACCCACTGAGCCACCCAAGAACCCTTCGGATAACATCTTCTTGATGTTCCATTCCATTCTGTGTTGGGGCCTGATTCTCAGAGAGTTCAAACCAGGTAGGAATGCTACCACAGCGTGCTTTATTTTTTCTTTCCCACCCAGGGTATGTGAGTTGCTTAATATTTTTCATGCATTTATTTCTCATTTAGATTACTCTTTACAGACAAGAGTTATATCATAGAGACCCTGTATACTTCTCCTTTTTAAATAACTTCTGTTATTCTGTTATGGTGGAAATCACACCAGGAAGGGACCTCTGTAAAAAAGTTAAACTGTGGATGATCTGTCTCTTCAGTTATCTATACTTGTTTATAACTGGGAGACTCATTTTTACTCTTCCTTTTTACTCAGGGATGATTTGAAGATAATTTGAATCCATCAGTTATGTTCTACTTATTTTAGAGTTGGTAAAAGTTTGAGTGCGAAAGGAGACTAAATAAATTGGTTAAGTAAATGGATGTCGTTCTACTAAATAAATTCATTTTGCCCGAAGGAGGTCAGTGTGGAACCCAAGTTTCTAATGGGGCCCAAGGAATTAAGCCCAGCTTCATTCAATTCTAAAATTCATCCATGAAACAGCACTTATGAAAAGGACAGTTGCCAAGTGCTAGGGGAAACTTTTTCAGGAAGAAATAAAGTTTGCGATGTTTGGTTGCTTAAAATCTAGAAAGGCATAGAAAGTATATTTTCCAATGTCCTCAATTTAGTTTGAGATATTGATTTCTGAAAAGAATATTGTTATTATTATTATAGTATTATTAATATTTTTTAATTTAAAATAAATTTTAAATTTCATTTTGAAAATTTTTTTTAGTATGGGGTGAAAGCAATGGATCTTCTCAGAAAAGTGCAAATATGGACAAGCCCTTTTTGATATGACCTTAAAATAGGTCAACAACACAAAAATGACTATACAATAAGAAATTAACCACGTTGGGTGAAGGAGGCAGAGATAATTTTTCTCAAACAGTCCCGACTATAACATTCAGCCAGGGCTCTAGGTAATTAGAATCCACAGACAATAGCTGATCTGTATAGGGTACTCTTTAAATAATGAAATACTAAACTTTTTTTTTAAAGAACTGATTAAAAGTAATGAAGTTGTGTAGATGTTCTCTCTTTTCATTTCTGCCTTTATACCAAGAAGTTCCAAAAGCGATGAAAATGCAAAGCAGCAGGTGTAAAGATGAGCAGAACAAGGCATATACGCATAACCTAGAAACAGAACAGTCCAGAAATAATCTCAGCCTCTCTACATATACAACCACATATCTTCACAGTATTACATTCACTGTTTTTAGGAAATAGATAATAACCATTTATGTTTTTCCATCACTTCCAGTATTACTAGATTCCACAAAGCCATGGAATAAGAATTAGTTGTCCTTCATTATTCACAATCATTTTCCCACTGTTGCCATAGGGCCATAAATCAATGGTATCATCATCTCACAACCACAGAACTGGGCTCTGTACTTGGTAAGTGACCATTATTATTAAGAAGTAAATGTCTCGCTCTATTGGAAACCACATATGATGATTCAACCCAGTACAAATATGTGTGGAACTTAAAATTTTTTATCTTGAGATTAGGATAGCAGTCATAGCTTAGCATTATCTTACAAAGCAGATTGTATCATGTGCATTTTTAATGTAAGTGTCAAGGAGTCAAAGGAACATAATAGTTGTAGAAGGGTTACAAATGCCAGTAATTAAGAGTCAATGGAACCAAAGGCTACTGTAGCCCTTCTGCTTTAGCCCCACTCATCTATAATCTACATTGCTTCAGAAGCCTACTCTAAAAGTCTCCAAGGAAAATCACATAAAGTCCATAAAGTCTTAGCATCTAATCCACCTGCAAAATAGTTACCATGGTTTTGCCCGAGCTCATCCGCTATTGGGTATATTTTTGTTTCTTGATGAGTTTAGTTTTACCACATTTTGGAAATCTATAAAAGTGAAATTCTTCAGTAACTACATGGACTCTCATCTATGACTAAGTTTCTTATTCTATAACTTCAGTAAGATGATTCAGTTGGACAATGTCTACTCTGGACTTAAAAATAACAAAAGAGCATCCTAGCATACAGACAAAAGTTAAGGACTTGTGGTCCTACTTCTGCCAATGATTTGGTACCTCCAAGTCCTGATTTTGCCAACATTTGGGC